AGTGGGGAGAGAGGACTGGGGGGCGGGGCCGGGGGAGGGGAGGTAGAAGGAGGAGAGAGGGGTGTACTCCTGGGATCGAGCTGCATGCACATAGTGAGGGCCTGGCTTTGCTACTGGCTGGTGTGTGAACAGTCATCTCCCGTATTTGAGACTGTTTCTTAATTTGCAAGTGATGGTAATGACTTGCGTGATTACTTTAACCTAATGTATTTAAGAATCTGTGACATTTAAATGTCTGCCGATGTAAGTCATATGTCTGAGTTCAGCCTCATGTCCGTGAGCTTGGAGGGGAGGGTGGTATCACTAGGGAGAGCCCGTAGGGGACAGGGGGTGACCTCTATGGGACCGCCCCGCTCATCAGCCCACACAGAAATGAGTACAGTGGGGCCTTGACTTACGAGTGTCCCGACTAACGAGTTTTTTGAGATACCAGCCGTCTCTCGGCCGATTTTTTGCATTGAGTTGATAGAGTAATTTGAGTTAACGAGCTCCTTAACGAGCTCAGTCTCGGAACGAATTAAACTCGTAAGTCAAGGCCCCACTGTATTGGAGGTTCCTTGTATTAACCACACGAACTCGAAGCTCTGCTCCTGAGGCACAGACCTGAGCCTGACATTCCCTGGTTAAACCCTCTCCGCCCCCCACGCCGCCCTCAGAATGGAGCCCAGTTTCTATTAATGTCGCTGGCAGGGCCATGCGCAGCCCAGCCTTCTCCTCGCAAAAGCTCTTCTCAAACAACGTGGGCTTTGGGGGCCTGTGGACATTTCTTCTTCCTCTTCACTCTTCCTAGATTGTGTCTCACCTCCCACTGCTACCTCCATCCCAGATCCCTCCTGCTGTCCAGTCCCTGGTCCTTCCGGACGCCCCGGGAGCCCCTCCTTCGTGAAACTGCCTCGGCTTCTCCGCAGTCATTCATTCGCCTCCCTCCTGGGACTGTCAGCGTCCCGGCAGCACCTCTCACTGTAGGCCATGCATTTGTCTCCCTTCTCCGCTGACTGCTCACTGCGAACAGGTCCTAGTTATTTCTGAACCAGCAGCTGATTATCTGATCCGGGAATATTCAAAATACTCCGTATTTGCTGAATGAATGAAAGTAAATGTTGGTCCTCTTGGTTTCGTGACCAATAACAATGAGAATTAAAGCTCACTACATGGCCAATGTCCCGATACGCACTCCTTCCTGGCGGAAGGAAGGTCGCAGCCGTTTCTCTCCTCACCAGCTCCCGCCAGCCAGCTCATTAGACTCGTGTCCTCGGTTATTCACCGGCCCCATAGCCCTCCAGGCCCTGCTCATCACACGCCCAGCAGAGCCAATCGTGACCTGAGCTCCAAGGAGCAGGCCCGGCTCCAGGGTCATCCCAGGTCCTGCCTGGGTGCAGCCGAGGCCTGGAGCTGCCCGGTGTCTTCTCGGAGGCTTGCTGTGCCCGTGTGTGGTGTGCGCGGCTGAAAGCACGTGGCTCCTTTAAATGCCGCCGCCCAGAAGCGGCAGCACAGCTGTCCTGTGTTCCCGTCCCCGCGATGGGCCTCAATCTGTCTTAGCGCTGGAGGTGGCGGCCTACACCAGGGAGTCCAGAGTGAACAAAAGGGGAAGCATCTCCGGGGCCCAGGGACGGAGAAGTGGGGGGTGCCCGAGGCAGAGCGAGGGGCTCTGAGCAATCTGAGAGCGTGCGTGTCCGAGGGGGAGGGAGGCGCCGGCCCAGGGGTCACAGAGGAAAAGAGAGAAGCAGGGGCTGGAAGTGGGGTGGTCGTGGGAGAAAAGACACCCTGGAAGTGGAGCCGCCTGACGGGCACAGGTCTGGGCGGCTGCCCTGCTTTGGTGCTAATTAGCTTCTGGCCGAGAGCGCTGTTCTGTTCTCCCAGCTGCCCCTCCCATCACAGGACGGAGGAGCCGCTCAGCTCCACAGGCAGGCCACCCCCCCTGCAGCAGGCGTACAGGGGGAAGCCCTGGGTGACCCAACATCCCGATGGCACCCTGGCTCTGACAACAAACTTGTTTTCCCAGGCCTTGCTCTGGTGCCTGGCAGGCACTGGCTCGGCTCTGCCATGCTGTCCATTGGCTGCCAGGGGTCTCCGGAGGCCAAAGCCCAGAGCGGGAGGTGGAGACAGACAGAGAGGCCTAGTTCCCGGCGTCTGACAGTCACCAGGCAACAGTTCCCGGGGGGGTGGGGGGGGTGGACAGTGGAGGGTGCCACAGGGAGGACCAGTGTGTACAGCAGAGGACAACCGACCTTCTGAACAGGACACCTCCCAGAGCTTCCATCCAACCTTCATTCACACAGAGGCGCGGGCTGGGAGGGCTCGGGCTAGGAGGGGTCAGGCTGGGGAGGAGGCGGGCTGGGGAGGGCGCGGGCTCCTCTTGTGGCCGAGGCCCCTTCTGCACTGTGGGAACTGACCTGCTTTTCGTTTTCGTCACATTGCCTAAACCAGCAGTCGCCAACGGTGGCCTCCGGGCCACTGGTTGTCCGTGAGGTCCAAAAGGTTGGCGACCGCTGGTCTAAACAATAGCATGTCCTTCACATTCAAGTTTGCTTCATACGTTTTATCCCAAAACATGACAAAAAAATGCATGTGCAGCCTGGATGCTGGGAGCCCGGCCTTTGCCAGGGAGAGGCCTGTCTTTCATTGACCTCCTCCTTTCATGCCACCCCTCTGGCCTGGTCACCAAACTGCATGTTGGGGCAGCAGTAATGCTGAAGACGGGGTGGGAGAGTGGGAGAGGCTGAGTGAGCCGGTCGCCAGGAGCCTGGGTGAGAAAACGACGGGAGACACACAGGTCGCTCTCCTGAGGGCAGGGCAGGGCCGGAGCCAGGGCCGAGGCGGGCAGACCGCGCAGGAGAAACTCATCCAACGCCCGACCGATTGCAACAGAACATCGCAGTCAGACTGGCGAAGGGACTGCCCACCCTAACGAGGAGCCAGCTGTGGGAAATCTGCAGATTTTACATAAAAACTCGGGAGCTATCAACGTCTCCCCTTCTCCCAGCGGAGAACGGGCTCTGCGGGGAGAGCTGCCCCTTCGGTGAGAGCTCCTTGCGCGGTTACTGTGCAGGAAGACAGAAGACAACAGCGGCCAGGCAGGCACAGCAGCGGGTCTCAGCTGTGTCCCGCAGCAGCCCCTGGCGTGTGCTCCAAGGGAGAGCGCAGCTCCACCCCTGCAGCAGAAGGCTGGGCTGCGGGCCCTGCAGGGGTGCTGGGCTCACTGAGGTTGAGCGCCACTGGTTTGGAGGGTAACTTCTCCAGCCATGAGTCAGGGTCCAGCCCGGGGGGAGGGGGGGGCGCCGCTCACTGGGCAGCGAGCGCCTCTCGGAGGCGGTCTCCTTTCTCTCGGGGTGAGAGTCAGGGACTAGGAAGTCGACCTTCTGCTCTCACCCCCACGCCCGGCAGGAAAGGCGGAGGTGAGCTGGCTGGCCGTGCGCAGGAGGCGGGCCGCGAAAGGAAGACATGTCCGCTGTGACACTGTTAGGAGTCACCGCTCCACAGTACATGTGTGTGCAAGCCCTTCCCCTCCCTCCCACGGGAGCAGGGACCCTGGAGCCCCGAGCTGGCCTCACCCTCCTCGGTGACCCGGAGGGGGATCAGCCGCGTGGTCTTCACGAAGGGGCGGTGCGCCTCAAACTCAAACTCCCGGGACACGTTGCAGGTGTAGAGACCAGAGTCGTTGAGGGTGACGTTGAGCACCGTGATGGACACGTCCTGCAGGTCCTTGCTGCCGTCCCACTGCAGGCGCCCCTGGAAGGGGCTCTCCACCTCCTGGTGGCCGTTGCGATACTCATAGATCTGCGGGGAGAGCAGCAGAGGGTAGGGCCCGAGGGGGACCGGCAGGAGGGCTGAGGTGGGGCGAGGGGAGGGCAGAAAAGGGGAACATAACTGCAGGCGCGGGAGGAAGGGGGACAATGTGACGAGGAGCCCCGAAGGTGGGGTGGGTGGGGAGTGTCAGAGGACGAGCGGGAGAGCAGCCGGGGAAGACGGCCAAGGCAAACGGCTACCCGGACGTATGGACACGGCAGGCCAAGGGGGTGAGTGGAGCGCACGGGGACCAGGGGTGAGGTGGGAGGAGCCGAGGCCTGGGAGGAAGTAGAAAGAACAAGAAAGGGTGCGATGTGTCCTGGGCGGCCAGCGAGAGGACAAGGTGCAGAGGTCAGGGGAGGCAGGTGTGTGAGTCGTGAGGCATCGGAAAGCCCGGGCCTCGGGCTCAACACTGAGCTGCTCCCACGGAGCGATGCGGGCAGCCTGGCCGGGCCAAGGAGGGGGCCTGGGAGGCCAGAATGTCACAGGGAAGCAGAGAGCTGCCAGCTGATGTGCACACACCAGGCTTTTTGCTTTGGGCTGAATTATAAGTGCAATGTGGTCTCTAAAATTCTTCTCTCCAACACCTGCCTCTGACACACCTTTTTCTCTGTGTGGCTGTGCTAGCCATCCTGCTCTCCCCTGGCCACGCGCGGCTACTCACCTTAACCCTGAAATCACTAGAGAAATCACCAGAGAAATCACTGGAGAGCAAATAAAAGTTAAAAGCCGGTGCCTCGAGGCACTGTCCGCATTCAAGCGCTTACTAGCACGCGCTGGCCACCAGGCAGCAGGGGTCTGGGGCACTGCCACCCTCACAAGGTGCCTGTCCGCATTGCTCTGTGTTGGCAGCACAGTTTTAAAAGTTTCTTTTCCTCCTTCCGAGCCTCACTCTCTTCGGTTCGGTCAGGCCTGGCAGCAGAGGGGGCAGCTGGCACGGGACCAGGCCCGAGTCCCGGGGGCCTTTGCACCTGGCCAAGCCATCCAGGTTCTTGAACCCGGGGTGGCCTCAGTCCTGGCCGGCCCCGAGCCCAGCGCTGGGAGGTCTGCTGGTCCCACTTCAGGCACCAGACGGGACAAACCTCCACTGGCCTGGCAGGTGCAGCCTGGGGTGAGGAATGAGGTGAACCCCTGGAGGGCAGGCAGAGCAGGGGAGACGGGCTCGCCCGCGCGGTCGCCATCACACGGCGGTGGAGAGGCCTGCCCGCAGGAACACGGGGTCCCGCGGGAAAGGGGCTCGGAGCTGCTGTCAGGCGTCCTGGCTCAAATAGAAGCTCTTGCTGCCTGAACTTTCTTGAGCCCCGGTTGCCTCATTGATATGATATACAATTTTTCTTTAGCAAACACTTATGTAGTGCTTCCTATCTTCTAGAACTTCTCTAAATGCATTAAAAGTGAAAGCTCATGATTCCTGGTAACAGCTCTATGATGTGGCTCTGGTTTATACCCCATTTAAAGAGGAGTAAACTGAGTCACAGGGAGAGTAAACAATTGTCCCAGGACACACAGAGCTAATAAGGTGTAGAATCAGGAGTCAGATTCAGGCAGCCTGGCTCCAGGCACAGAGCGTGTGCGTGCTGGTCACCCCCAAGGCGCTGGTGCCAACCAATCAGAACTGCCACTGCCGTGCGCAGGAGCAGCCGCGCAGGCTCTTGCTCGGTCCTGGGGAGGTTTGGCGGTTCCTGGCGGGAACCACGTGGGAGGTTTGGCACAGCAAGGACCCGCCATAGAGCTATGGAAATATTTCCCCTGATGGGGCTGCACTGGGCACCAGGGACTCTCAGCCCAGGTCATCCCTGTGAGGGTTATTTTACTGGGATTGTGGGTTAAAGAGAGAGAGTGTTACTAGGAGCTCCGAGTTCAATTCAGCCCAAAGCACAGAGCCTGGTGTGTGCACATCAGCTGGCAGCTCTGCTTCCCTGTGACATTTTAACCTCCCAGGCCCGCTCCTTGGCCCGGCCAGGCTGCCCGCACCGCTCGGTGGGAGCAGCTCAGAGTGTTGAGCCCGAGGCCCGGGCTTTCCGGTGCCTCATGACTGATACGCTGCCTCACCGACGTTATCTTACATGATGCTCGGTGCAGAGACCAAGAAAGGAAGTTTTGTTAGTCGTGGAGGCATCGGAAAGCCCGGGCCTCCGACTCCACACTCTGAGAGGACATGGCCAGACGCAGGCCGCTCAGTGGGAGCAGCTCAGAGTGTTGAGCCTGAGGCCCGGGCTTTCCGGTGCCTCATGACTGATACGCTGCCTCACCGACGTTATCTTACATGATGCTCGGTGCAGAGACCAAGAAAGGAAGTTTTGTTAGTCGTGGAGGCATCGGAAAGCCCGGGCCTCCGACTCCACACTCTGAGAGGACATGGCCAGACGCAGGAGCGGGGAGCCCAGGATTCAGTGGTTCTACTAAATCAATCCTCTACTAGGAGGGGGTAGCAGGGTAAATGAAAACACCTGCAGAGTGCCTCGCCCGGTGACCAGCACTCAGCAGGCTTTCCACACCAGTTATCTCTCCTTCTGCCCCCCCTGCTGCGACCAGGAATGCCTGCGGCTGGCCCAGGACCCGTCCTGCCCAGAGGCTGGGTAAACTGAGGCCGTTGGTCTCTGCTGAGGAGCCATCGGCGCTTCGGAGAGAAGGAGCCAGTGTCTGTCAGCTCACCCTCCCCCACCCCCAGGGGCCAGGCACAGGACACAGAGGCCCAGGAGGGGAAGGCGGAGCCAGCAGCCCACATACAAGGAAATCTTTACCGCCCTCAGGCCTGTAGAACCACTCCACCACCGTGGTGGCCTCCACCTCCTCCCTCTTCATGCAGGAGATGCAGCGCAGCTTCATGGCGTTGCCCTGGACGGCCTCTGTCTCCGAGGGCACCTCCACGCACACGGGGGAGCAGACGCCTGAGAGGGGGGCGGGGGAGGGGGCATGGGAGAGCCAGGAGGGAGGGAGAAGACAGAGAAGGAAGGATGGTGAGATAAGTTGGAAAATACCATGTTCACGCATGTATACTGCACCTGTGCTCCGGGGCATGCCTGCTGCAGCAGGCACGGAGGGGCATGGAGGAGGCGTGCTGACCCAGAAGCGACTGAGCGGCTCCCGAGGCAGTGGGATGAGGCAGCACATCCCTGAGCCCTGCCCTCAAAGACGTCTGATCCAGGGGAGGCAGGGCGGGCACACACCCAGCACCCCTTCATGCAGCCGGCATCACCGAAGCCATGCTATGCCAGGCCCACGCGAGGCTGAGATACAAAGGTGAACGAACACTAACCGCGCCCTAAAGACACATGCCTGGCAGGGAGCACACCCCCCAGCATCGCATCCTTAACCCAGGCCCAGTGAGCGACAGCCCAGTGACTGCTGTTCCCACAGGAGGGGACGCGTCCTGGCCGGCTGGGAGAGGCGAAAGGTGGGGAGCGGTGAGGTATAGACAGAACCCACCTTGCGAAGACCCTGTGTGTCCTTCACAATATGAGGGTCAGAGGTTTCAAAGCCGTGAGAGGTGTAGTTATATCTGTGTTTTAAGAAAAGTGCAGGTAATTCATGTGCATGGTGGCGGCTGGAGCAGCAAGGAGGGAAGTGTGAGTGACTGCCCAGGAGGCCGATCGGTGCTGTACGCGGGGAAGCAGAGAGATGAGAGGTCAGGTTGTGGGATACTTACAGTTCCCGCCTCTGAACACTCATGGCCATTACAAAAGGCAAGGGTATCTGACTGCAAATTAGAAGGAGTCAAAAGTGGGAGGTGGCTGCCAACAGGGCACATGCGGGCGGCATTAACAGACATTTAATGCCCAGAAGGGGGGAAACAGCCCCTCCGCCTGCTCAGAACAAATCCGGACCATGGTCATCGGTTCAGGGGTCAGATTCTACAAAAACAGGATGTTCCCTGAGCGCATGCCTGGAGGGAGCAAGGTGGGAGAATTCTGAGAGGAAGAAACAGAGGCTTATCTTGGACACAGAACTTATCTGTCCTCCAGTATTTGAAGGCTGATCTGTGAAAGGTGAAATACATTCTGTCCAAAAGTTACAAGAAATTAAGTTTAGCTCAATTCATGGTCTGGTGCAGCAGCTGTTCACAAATGCAGAACAGTATTGGCAAGAGAGCTTGCACGTCACCCAGAGAAGGTTCAAAGTCAGTGACCAAGAGGGTTCATGTGTCAGGAATCCTTCTGACGCTACTTTTTAAAATATACATATTTATACTAGAGGATTCGTGCACCGGTGGGGTCCCTCGGCCCGGCCTGTCGGGCCGAAACTGCTCTCCAACATCCCCCAAGGGGTCCTGGATTGCAAGAGGGCGGTTCTCGGTGACGCACCCCAGAATCGGGCTCCCTCCTCTATAGTTCTGGATGTGTCACCTGAGAACAGCAGCTGCCAAGTCACCACTGCTTGGCAGCTCCTGTGTTGAGCATCTGCCCCCTATTGGTCAGTGCACGTCATAGCTACCGGTCGGACGGTCGCTTAGGCTTTTCTCTATATAGATTGATTTTAAAGAGGTAGGGAGAGGGAGAGATAGAAACATCAATGATGAGAATCATTGATCGGCTGCCTCCTGCACACCCAGTACTAGGGATCGAGCCCCCAACCTGGGCATGTGCCCTTGACCAGAATCAAACCCAGGACCCTTCTGTTTGTTAGCTAACGCTCTATCCACTGATAGAGCCAAACCAGCCAGGGCTGATGCTACCTTTTAATGAATTAATAGTAAAAACAGAACCCCTAAAAATATAGAACACTACACATTGATATTTGAAAACTAGTCCTCTGAATGGTCAGTCCATTCCTGTCTGGCAGACAGTCATTTCTAAAAGCGGAGGAGAGCTTTATTTAGAGCTTAAAGTGACACTGGCCAATTAATTTTGAGTAAAAAATGAAATTTTATATTTGACTGACTTAGAAGGCAACACCTTTCATTTTAAATGCAGTCTAAATACTAATGTCACTAAGTGAAGTCTAAAATATTAAGGGGCAATAAATGTAATTGGTTATAAAACTCAAGCAAGCTGGGCTGGTCTTGTCGGGGCCGGCGGGGGCGACCTGCCTCTGCGTGCGGGTCACACTTCAGTGGGTGCACAGTTGGGAGACCTGGTCTGCGATGGGTTTGAAGTCTTGATTACGGGCCTGGTTAGAAAAAGGAAGGAAGGAAGGAAGAGGTGTGGTCTCCACAGGAGCCTGGGAGTGGCTGAGATGGAGAGCGTGCACTCATGTTTAATGAGATGGTAAGGATAAGTTAGTGCAGTTCGGATGGCTTCAAGAGCAGGACGGAAAATGTACCAAGGACTGTACAGCCACCATTAGAGAGGCAGGATGAAGATGGTGTTTGGCAACTGATGGTGTCTGATTTACTATTTAACCTCCCTGAGACCCATTTATGCATCTATAAAAGTGCTGAAATTAATATCTATCTAATATATTTCCATGAAAGTTCTCTGGAATAATTGGCACAAGTGTGCTTTGTACAAACGTCGCTGGCCAACGTCCTTTTGTGCTTCATTTAAGTGTTCATTATTCTGCCTGCTGTGTGCCCGGCATTGAGAGTCCAACAGGGAACCTCACAGGAGCCATCTCTGCCCTCGTGGCGCCAGCGTTAGGGCGGCGAGAGAGAGAAAATAAGCAACTTTAAATCGCCATAAGTGCTACGGGACAGAATGAAAGAGAACAGAGGAGACAGAGCGTGGGTGTGCTCCTT